AGGTCTCATTATAAATGTACAATGTCTTGCATCCAAATCGGTAGATGAGGTGAGTGCTACCTTAGCTGACATACGTAAGATTCATTTAAAGCTCGCTCTCATATTGACAAGCATTTAACACTTGGTTGGTTACGCGCGTCCGTGATAGGTTTCGACAGAAAGCTACCCCAGCTTGTCACTGATTTTGTGATTCGCCAACCAGTCACGGTCACGGAGGCCAACCGAGTGTTAAATCCGCCCAAATGTAAAACAGAGAAAATATGAGACGCCCTCTCACTATAGTGTCATGATGATTTTATTCAAATGCACAACTAAGAAACGTACCCTATCACTTGATGACATTGCAGATGTGCATTGTTGGAACATACAGTCCCCACCCTTTAACAAATCATTGTTCTCATTCTGCACCTACTGAGCAGCACTAGTAGCAATGTAGATATACCACATTGCGCCTATTGGTCATTCAACAGTGAGCACGTTGCTCTTGAGCATGCCATGACCCACGGTGGGCCACTCTGTCGCCACTCTCCACTCGCCGTCCACCAGGAACTTGATCTCGTACCTGCATGCACACGCAGATGCACAATAGGATGCAAGCACCAAAGGATGGGAAACAAGGGTTTAGGATAGCATAATGCCATGGCCCACAATGGGCCACTCTATCTCATGCAGGCAAGGCAACCCAAACAGGGCCTCAGATTTGTTTTGGGCCAGGCGTTTTCGTCAGTGCTGGTCCTTTCGTCAGTGTCGAACAAACTTTCTATCAGAGTCCCTTGGAAAAAATACCTAAAAAATCAGTGTTGTCATTTTTTTTTTTTTTTTTTTTAGAATGTACCCATTGTACGCCCGGACTGGTCCAGTCGGTAGAAGGAAGAATGAGGTTTCAGGGTTTGAATCCCATTGCGGGGACAAGGACAGGACAGAGACAGGGGACAAGGACAGGGACAGAGACAGGGACAGGGACATGCTGAGATTCACTCTACAATGGTAGTGAGCTAGACTATGGGGGTTGGCACGAACTACAAGGAGTGATCGTAGCTTTGCCTAGTTCATTAGTGCTTGCACAATCACGGGAGAAATCGGCAAGAGTTTCCACCAGCAAAGTCGAAATTACAGAATTGTTGAACAAGCAATGACAACAATGACTACATCAGGCACCTAGCAACTCTGCAGCTAGCCTGGTCGACCGACAGCATAGCATGGTCGACCGCCTGCCAGCGTTGCGTAGAGGAGCCGCGCCAACACTGCAGAAAGGCGACCTGCCAACACAGCAGGTCGACGGTGTGCCAACGCTGCAGCAGAGCGGCTGTCTAGCGTTGCCCCGTAGAAGACAGCAATGCGCACGCTCGCAGGTGCGCGCAGATGATTGGCCCGACTTGCACCGTTGTGCATCTGTCGGCTGTTGTCTACGCTTGACGAGCCACATCGACATCGAGATACCAACCCGAAGTCGCCTTCGCCATCGCGACCTCGACGACGTTCGCGTGCCTCCGCAGAACTCGCCGAACAGGTTATCCGGTCGACCTGGACAACCCCAGGTGCTCTGGTCGACCACCAAGTGCCTATGGTCGACCACCGGGTCCCTCTGGTCGACCACTAGGTGCCCCTGGTCGACCACAGCTCCCGTCGAGCTACCCCCTGGTCGACGGACCCCTTCCGTCGACCAGAATTGTCAGCTGTTGTCGCCGAGCTCCCCTCGTCGACCGCTGCTCACTTGTCAGGTCAACGGACTGCTCCGTTGACCTCCTAGTCGAACTGCAGGTCGACGGACTTCTCCGTCGACCTCCCGGTCGAACTGCCCCTCCTGGTCGGCGGCCCACCCGTCGCCCAGACCGGTCAGTTGCAGCTGTCGAGCTCCCTGGTCGACAGCAACACCACAGCGGTCCTCTACAGCTCGACGAAACCTGTCGAGCAGCTCTCCCACTGTGAACGGTCGGCTGCTACTCCCGTACATCCGACCAAGTCGTCGGCGTTGCCCAAGCGAGGGCGGGGCCAACACTCCACTCCGGTTAACAGGACAGGGACACGGACACGGACACGGACAGGGACACGGACACGGACACGGACAGGGACAGGGACAGGGACATATTATGGTGACTAGTACCATTATCTAATGTGGTACCCTTCTTCACATAGGTAAGATGGAAAGTGGGAGATGGGAGATGAAAGATGGGAAATGGGAGATGGGAGATGGAAAGTATGAGATGGGAGATGGGAAATAGGAGATAGAATGTTGGAGATGGGATGTGTGAGATGGGAGATGGGGGGTGGGAGATGGAAAGTGGGAGATGGGAGATAGGTGACGGGAGAAGGGAGATGGGAGATGGAAAGTGGGAGATGGGAGATGGGAGACGGGAGATGGGAGATGGGAGATGGGAAATGGAAAGTGGGAGAAGGGAGATGGGAGAATGTGGGAGATGGGAGATTTAAGACGGGAGATGGAAAGTGGGAGATGAGAGATGGGAGATGGAAACTGGGAGATGGGGGATGAAAGATGGGAGATGAGATATGGGAGATGGAAAGTGGGAGATGGGAAATGGGAAATAGGAGATAGAATGTTGGAGATGGGATGTGGGAGATGGGAGATGAGAGGTGGGCGATGGAAAGTGGGAGATGGGAGATAGGTGATGGGAGATGGGAGATGGGAGATGGAAACTGGGAGATGGGAGATGGGAGATGGGAGATGGAAAGTGGGAGATGGGTTTAGGGACAGGGACAGGGAGATGGGAGACCATCTCCCATCTCCCATCTCCACTTTCCATCTCCCATTTCCACTTTCCATCTCCCATTTCCCATGTCCCATCTCCCACTTTTCATCTCCCATCTCCCAGTTTCCATCTCCCATCCCCCATCTCCTATCTCCCATCTCCCATCTCCCAAATCCCATATCCCATCTCCCCCATATCCCATCTCCCATCTCCCACTATCCTACTCCCATCTCCCATCTCCCACTTTAGATCTCCGATCTCCTATCTCCCATCACCCATCTCCCATTTCCCATCTCCTATCTCCCATCTCCCACTTTCCATCCCCCATCTCCCATCTCCCACTTTATATCTCCTATTTCCACTTTCCATCTCGTATTTTCCATCTCCCATCTCCCACTTTCCATCTCCCATCTCCCATCTCCCATCTCTCACTTTCCATCTCCCATTTCCCATCTCCGATATCCCAGTTTCCATCTCCCATCTCTCATCTCCCATCTCCCATCTCCTATCTCCCATCTCCAATCTCCCATATCCCATATCCCATCTCCCATCTCCCACTATCCAACTCCCATCTCCTATCTTGCACTTTCGATCTCCAATTTCCCATCTCCCATCTCCCATTTCCCATCTCCCACTTTCCATCTCCCACTTTCCAGATCCCATCTCTCAGTTTCCATCTCCCATCTCCCACTTTCCATCTCCCATTTCCCACATTCCATCTCCCATCTCCCATCTCCCATCCCCCACTTTTGATCTCCGATCTCCCATCTCCCATCTCCCATTTCCCATTTACCATCTCCCATATCCCATCTCCCATCTCCCATCTCGCATCTCCCACATTCCATCTGACATCTCCCAGTTTCCATTTCCCATCTGTTATCTCCCATCTCCCACTTTCCATCTCCTATTTCTCATATTCCATCTCCCATCTCCCACATTCCATCTCACATCTCCCAATTTCCATCGCCCATCTGTTATCTCCCATCTCCCATTTTCCATCTTCTATTTCTCATATTCCATCTCCCATCTCCCACATTCCATCTCACATCTCCCAATTTCCATCTCCCATCTGTTATCTCCCATCTCCCATTTTCCATCTCCCATTTCTCATATTCCATCTCCCATCTCCCATTTCCACTTTCCATCTCCCATTTCCCATCTCCCATCTCCCACTTTCCATCTCCCATCTCCCAGTTTCCATCGTCCATCTCCCATCTCCTATCTCCCATCTCCCATCTTCCATCTCCCATCTCCCATCTCCCATCTCCCATCTCCCATTTTCGATCTCCCATCTCCCACTTTCCATCCCCCACTTTCCATCTCCCATCTCCCATCTCCAATCTCACACACCTCCCATCTCCCACTTTCCATCTCCCATCTCCCACTTTCCATCTCCCATCTCCCACTTTCCATCTCCCATTTCCCACTTTCCATCTCCCATCTCAAATCTCCCATCTCCCACTTTCCATCTCCCATCTCAAATCTCCCATCTCCCACTTTCCATCTCCATTTCCACTTTCTATCTCCCATTTCCCATCTCCCAGCAGTCATCTCCCACTTTCCATCTCCCATCTCTCTGTTTCCATCTCCCATCTCCCATCTCCCACTTTCCATCTCTTATTTCCCACTTTCCATCTCCCATCTTCCATCTCCCGTTTCCCATTCTCCATCTCCCACTTTCCATCTCCCATCTCCCATCTCACACTTTCCATCTCCCATCTCCCATCTCCCACTTTCCATCTCCCATCTCCCATCTCACACTTTCCATCTCCCATCTCCCATCTCTCATCTCCCACTTTCCATCTCCCATTTCCCACTTTCCATCTCCCATCTCCCATCTCCCACTTTCCATCTCCATTTCCACTTTCTATCTCCCATTTCCAATCTCCCATCCCCCACTTTCCATCTCCCATCTCCATGTTTCCACCTCCCATCTCCCATCTCCCACTTTCCATCTCCTTTTTCCCACTTTCCATCTCCCATCTCCCATCTTCCAATCTCCCGTCTCCCACTTTCCATCTCCCATTTCCACTTTTCGTCTCCCATCTCCCAATTTCCATCTCCCATCTCCCTGTTTCGATCTCCCATCTCCCATCTCCTATCTCCCATCTCCCACTTTCCATCTCCCTGTTTCGATCTTCCATCTCCCGCGCCCTTAACGTCCTCGCGCCCTACCATTTTCTTGCCGGAGCGCCCTTGACACTCGCCCCCACCGCCCCCCTCGTCCGCCTCCATGCTTCGCCGCACTCGCTCCTTCCCTCCGCCCCGCGCGGCCTCCGCTGGCGCATTCCCTCACGCGCGCGCCATTGCCTTCGCCGCGTCGCCCGCGCCCTCCGCGCCTGCGCGGCCGCCCTCCGCGACGTCGTCCTCATCCATGCGCCATGCCAGCCTTCGCCCGCTCGTCCTTTTCGGGCTCACCCCTTTCGGGCTCGCTTTCGCCTTCCCGCCGCGGGGCTGCTCAGCCGGCGTCTGGTCGCCTGCCTCCTCGTCCTCCGTCAGACTCCGCGCCAGACTGCCCTTCTTGCCGCTCCCCGCCCTCGCGGACACCTCCCCGCCACTGCGCGCCCCCGCGCTCTCCGCCGCCTCCTCTGCCCATGCTGGCTCCTCCACGCGCCCCTGCATGCCCAGCACCGGGCTGCCGCATGGGTCCTCCCCCACGACTTCGACCGCCGCTCCCCCCTCTGCTCCGCCCTCCTCGCCCGCTCCCCTTCCCTCCTCTGCATCGTTTCTCTGCTCTTTGCTCGTTCGCTCGCGACCCGGCTCGCTCCACCTCTTGCCACCCTTCACCTTGCCGCCGCCTGTCCAGGACTTTTCCCAGCCCTGGGGCGGCGCCGCAGTGTCATCGACGCTCTTGCGCCTGCCGTTGCTGGCGGCCACCGCCGCTGCGCGCGTCATGGTTTCCATGCCCTCCTTGGCCATGCTTGCGCGCCTCCCCGGCTTCACCCGGCCAGTCGGCACACCAGCAGTGCCAGGGCCAGCTGAGGTGCGCGCTTGCGGCGGCGGCGGGGAGGGGAGGGCACCTGGACCAGGCGTGCCCTTGGACCAGGCGCGTCGGCGGGCTTGCGGGCTGGCGGCTTGCGGGTTTGCGGGCTTGCACACTGGCGGGGCTTGCTATCGACTCTGCTGCTTATTCAGATGATAAGAAAAGAAATGGCTTTCTCTTGTGAATTATATTAGTAGCATAAACAATTGGTCTGAATATGAACATGGAAAAATCTGACTGAGTTGGTCTGATTACGAGGGCCCTGACCTCAACAGCTGGACCTTGCTATCAACCATCATATCTATTTTTCCATCTGCTACAATACTGGCAGGAAACACAGTTCTCGCAGCAAACCCCATCCCCCCTGCTTGGGACTCTGGATGCCAATCATCCACGTGAGAGAAACCCAGCAGCAGCCTCCATATCAACCATCCAGATCAGCCTCCCATCTCCTGGCAACACCACAGGAAGAGGCAGGACAACAGCCCACATCAAGAACCCTGTAAGAACCCAGCAGCAGCCTTCGTATCAACTATCAGATCAGCCTCCCATCTCTTGGCAAAACCATACTGGCTGGCAAGGTCCCCGCAGCAAAACCCATCCCCCCTGCTTCGATCACTACTGGACACCAATCAACCCCCAGGGAGGAACCCAGCAGCAGCCTCCGTATCAACCATCCAGATCAGCCTCCCATCTCGTGGCAAAACCATACTGGCTGGCAAACCAGTTCCCGCAGCAAACCGAGTCCCCCCTGCCTCAAACAGCCTCCCCAGCAGCTCCCTCTTCCCCTCCCCCATTGCCACAACTGCAACCACCGCAGCTGAAAGCAGCACAGGGAGAGTCAGGGTGATTCGGCAAGGGGGGGGCTTGGGGGAGTCGGAGAGATGGCGGCACCAGTGGGGGGAAGGGGTGGAGGGGGATGCGGATGGGGATGGGGAGGAGGAGGAGGAGAGGAGGGGGTGAGAGGGGAAGAGCGAGGCAATGTGGCCGTCCGGTCCCACCCCTAGAAGGATAAAGTCGAATCTGGGGAAGGGCGTATCTGCACAACAGGACAAAAAGGGCAGACAGAAACAAGGTTGTGTGGGTTGAGACTCGAAACAATTGGATAAGAGAGGCCATGTGACCGTCGGGTCCCACACCAAGAAGGATAAAGTCGAATCTGGGGAAGGGCGTATCTGCACAACAGGACAAAAGTGGAAGATGCAAGGTAGTGTGGGTTGAGATGTCGGGGGTGAGGGCGTCCGTATGATTCTGGTGCCACCCATCCCTTGAAGGAGACAGAAATAGCAGGCCTAGCAGGCATAGCAGGCCTAGCAGGCCCAGGAGTCGAGCAAGCCTACCTGGGTGCATCAGCAGAACCCCAACCTCCACACACTGCTTCAATTCGCGCTCGTACACCTCTGCTGCTGTTGCTTCGACTGAGAATGACAGCAACAGCACGCCTGGCAAGCATAGCATTTCTAGCAGGTGGAGTGAGCCTACCTGGGCGGATCAGCAGAACCCCAGCCTCCACACACTGCATCAGCTCACACTCATGCGCCTCTGCTGCTGCTTGGAGTGGGATGGACAGAAGCCGCAAACCCAACGAGTCGAGCAAACCTACCTGGGAGCATCAGCAGAACCCCAGCCTCCACGCACTGCAACAGCTCGCGCTCATACGCCTCTGCTGCTGCTTTGACTGAGACTGACGGAAACATCACGCCTACCAGACCTCTAGAGCAAGCCTAGCAGGGCCAGCGGGATGAGCCAACCTACGTGGGTGCATCAGGAGAAACCCCCCGGGTGAAGGTGAACAGGCCTGGCAGGTTGAGCGAGCCTACCTGGGTGCATCAGCAGAACCCCAGAATCCACGAATTGCTTCAGCTCACGCTCATACGCCTCTGCTGCTGCTGCTTCGACTGGGAGTGACGGCAACAGCACGTTTCGCATGTGTAGCATTTCTAGCAGGGGGAGCAAGCCTACCTGGGTGCATCAGCAGGACCCCCGCATCCACGCATTGCTTCAGCTCGCGCTGATACGCCTCTGCTGCTGCTTCCACTGGGAGAGAGTCGTCTAGAGTGTGTATGTGGGCTGGTGGGATGGGCACCTGGGGTGAAGACAAGAGAGTAACGACACAAAGCATGTGGGAAGGGCGAGAGCAAGGTATAGCACGGCATGGTACCGCATGGCATGAGATGGCATGGATATTTAGCAGGGGTGAAATCTTGTTAAGCTTGTTGGTGAAGGAGAGCGTGAGAAGGAGGGCGATGATTGGAGAGCCAGTGCGTGTGTGCCAGCAGGTAGTTGCTGTCGGGGTGTGACACAGGCTCACAAGCAGTGTGTGACACAGGCTCACAAGCAGTGTGTGACGGGCATACGGAGTTTGTGAGTGTTTACGGGGGGGATGGGAGCACCTTGGGTGCGACAGAGGCATGCTGTTTGGGTTGAGTTGGAGGCTAACGTACGTTCTAGCTCACACACTGGGGAAAGGGACGCACCTTGGAGAGCCAGTGAGTGTGCGCCAGCAAATAGTTGCTGTCGGGATGCATCAGCGGCACAGCCCGTTCGTCCACCCAGAACACGTGCCATCTGGACCAATCACAGAGCGCCGCGATATCTGGATGCGCCAGCTGGCTGGTGTGGAAGAGGAGTGGGTGGGAGAGGAAGAAGGGGACTGAAAGACGTAAGATCCCAGGGAGGGAGGACAGCAGAATTGAAGCCGTTGTTTTTTTACTCTCGAAATTGAATTCAGTATATGACAAGTGTGAGGAACGGAGTGATGCGAAACAACAGAGCAGCTCGGCGAATTGCATCGTGACAGCTAAGCACGACAGCCTGGCAGTGGCAGCGTGGCAATGCCACGTGGGTAATGCTTACCCCAGGCATTTAACGACGGACCCCCCTGAAATAACGATGCTGAAAGAGCCATGCGCGGCTATGGCTGCCTGTTGGGCGGGTGTATGGGTTGAGGGAGGAGGGATGGATGGGCGGATGGATGGCGGATGGGGGCGTTTCGAGGTGACTCGAAACGTGCTGAAATAGCCAGCGCTGCTTTGGCTGTCTGGACGGGCGGATGGATGTATGGGGGTTGGATGAGGGGATGGACAGTGGGTGTCCACTGAAGCGGGCAGTGAAGACGATGTGAGAACCCGTGAAATTTTTAATCGTTACGCGCACGAGAGTTGGTATGCCTCTCCTCGCTGCCTCCCCTTGCCGCCTCACCTCAGAAGCTCTCACGATAACGTCGGCCAGACCTCGCGAGATGTCGTCAGCGGACTCATGCACGCGAAGCTCTCCGGAACTTTCGCGCCCTTGGATTCGAGTGGTGGGTGGATGGGGAGAAGGCAGGAAACAAGTATAAGTCAAACGAGTCACTGGATAGTGAAAATTCACGGACCGACGGAGCTGAGACTCGCAAGTAAGAATAATGTGCCGCGAAACGCGCCGCAAAATGCGTCAGGGGGATGCAACGCCAGCGCTGCACCTCCAAATTCGGTTTCAGCACGAAGGCGACAGTCGTAACTGTTGTGAGCATGCCATGTCAGCTTACACGAGAGGGGAATCGCGGTGTATTTAGCGTCCTCCATGGAACTTCCTGCAGTACGTGCTGACCGTTTATCTCGTCCAGGCCATTCGAAATCTAGGCGACAAACTCGCCGTCGCTATCTCTAGAGTTCCGCACATGCAATGCGGGGCATCCTTCGGAAAATAACTAAAATTCGTGGCAGCATATTTGTGTGGTTGGGTCTGGATTTGTGCTTGGAGTTCGATGCTTGCTTCCACATATTATGATAACTAAGAATCTCATCTATCGCAGTGTACTGACCGGAAAAACACAACTACGTTATACGTATGTTGAACTTTGCAAAAGCAAAGCATACAGAGATGCAGGCAATGCAACAGCTGCAATGTGGGGTGTGGTGTGGTATGGGTGGGTGTGGTCACGGTGGTGGTAGTGGCTGGCATGGTTGTCGAGGGAGCTGGCTGGTTGCTTGACCAAGTCATGATTACGTGTATGTTGGCTTCCGCCTATCGCGGCATACCCCTCTGAGCCACTAGTTTTTCCGCACAAACTGCACTGCGAGCCAAGCCTGAAATTGGCCTTCAAGTCTGACGTGACACTTCACATGCTTCCAATATCCATGGAGATGGAGATTTCAGAACGAATCTGGACGAATAATTTATGGTTACAGGTGGCACAATCGTGGTCCTCTCATTTGAGTTCATTCTGCCTCTAGATGCACGAGCGGGCCACTTCACCTCGATAACATCCCTTTCTCGAATATTCGCGCAGCGCTAGTGCCTTCGCTGGAGTTCGCTTCGCTGTTACCTGTCGCCAGACTCTTCCCCTCGACCGTTCAATCCAGATCCAAGGTTGTTCACACACACAACCAAAAGCACTTTCCCTGGCATCCCCCAAGACCACCACCACCATCCCTAACACCTAGACTCAAGCATATCTCCACTCGGTGTTCTTTGTTTGGCTGAATATTCCAAAATAGTTGGCTTGGCTACAATTGCTCGACATCGGCTCCTTTTGCACTCACCATTCCGCTCCCTGCCTATTTGCCTGCGGAACCTGTAAGCCGGAGAAGCTGTAAGTCCGAGCACAGCTATTGGTGTCCTGAGGAACCTTCCTTATCTCAGGCCGTGAATTACTAAAGTTTCGCTTTATTTCGCGTGAGCACGCTTTATTGTGGAACGTAAGCCGCCTGGTTCAACCATGGATATTCTCACACGGTGTTCTCCAGCGGGGTCGGCGCTCCTCCTCCCCAGTCCACACGAAGCTCGACCTCTCGCGCTTCGCACGGCTACACACTCCTTCCCCTCACAGAAGCTGCCGCAGGCTTCCCGTCGCCACGTCGTTTCGGCAATTTCCGAAGGCTCGCGAAAGTCGCAGTATTCGCCCAGCGAATTCGCGAAGTTACCAGGCGAGCTGCAGGACTTGTCGAATCTCGTAAAGAAGCTTGCGAACGAGACAACCAAACCTCCCCCTCCCCGCGCGGACTCTGCACGGCCGTCCGTCAAGCCCCCTCGTTACAGCGACTTCGCCAACAACCCTGAAAACGACCTCTCCAGTAAACCTGCCGTCGCGGCTCCCGATGCGCCAGGCTTTCCGGGTCTTCCAGCGTCTGTCGCCCGGCAGATGCCATGGCTGGCACAGGCAAAAAAGCAGCCGCCGCAAGACGCGGAGAGCGATCTCGAGGGATTGATACCCAAGGCGCTTTCTTCCCCATCCATGCCGACATCCGCCGATAGAACAATGGTGCCTCGTACCGAGGTGAGATTCGTTTGGTCATTGTATTGTGCCGTTGCTTGCGAATACCCGTGAGGCGTATTCTCCTTGGTGGTGGTACTAAGGCGTCCTTCCATTTACCCACTCTGCGCCTAGCGTGTCGTTACGAATCTCATGAGCGCACTTCTTCGGAGCTCTTTCTTCCACCTTCATTCTTCTTCGTCACTCCCGCTTCTCTCACTTCCTCACCTTCACTTCTTCTTTCGCCCCGACTGCGACCCGCCAGGTCATCGCCATGCGGTCGCGGCTCAACAAGAAGCTCAGCGAGTCCAACACGTACAACCGCTTCCTGCAGCGCGAGGTACGGAGCGGTACAGAGCGGTACGGAGCGGTGGGGAGCGGGTGGGGAAGGTCTGTTTGTTTGGTCGTGAGAGGTGAGCTGTCAAAGGCCGAGCAAAAGGGATTGGCTGTGAATTGAACACGTAAAACCGCTTTCTGCAGCGCGAGGTACGGGGAAAGGAGACAAATAAGGAGGGGGGGTTGGAGGGAACGACTTGGGTGGTTGCGAGGGGTACGCTAGAAGAAGCTCCGCCGTGCCAGACGAACACATACAACCGCTTCCTGCAGCTGGAGGTGAGATGGTAGCCGTTAAGAGGTGCGAGTGAGACTATGGACAGCCGCGCCAAACAAGAAACCATCAAGTCATGGTTGTAACTCTGAATCAGCAGTCGAAACGTTTCAGAATTTATTCGCTGAGTTTCGAGACGGCTCTGATTTGAGGTTCAGCTTTCTTGAAGCAGAGACGTTATGACTGGAACTGGATAGCTGAAAATCAGGTTAATCTTATGAGGATGCCACGGCGGCGCTAGGTAGTGGAATTTAGGTTACCGTTTCCCTCTCACCCACACACCCCTCCTCCTCCCATCCCCATACCAGGTGCAGTACCGCGAGCAATCGCTGAGCGACTTATAAAGCGCACATAATTCTCTATTTGCGCCCTTCTGCGCCTCACTCTCCTCCCCCGCTTTTCTCCCCCCCCCCGATTCCCGCCTGTCTCCCTTCCTCCCCTCCACCAGGTGCAATACCGCGAGCAGGCGCTGAGCGACTCAAAAGCGCTCATGATCGCACTGGCGGCGGAAATGCGGGTGAGATGGGATGAACGGCTGAGATGGGCTGGATTGGGTGGGCGGTCAAGATTGGATGGATTGGGTGGACGGTTGAGATTTGGATGGGATGAAGGGCCGAGATGCAATCGGATGAACTACTTAGATGTGTGTTACGATTATTGGTTAAAGACTGGTTGAGGTGAGTGGACCGAACTTGAAGGGGGGCGGGATGAAAAACTGAAATGGGATGAACAGCTGACAGGTCTCATATCTCTGACAAGTCATACATACATGATACATTCACACATGCATGCACATTGCGCCTGAATTACCAGAAACGATGTGCTCATAATTTTCTCCAATGCCTCTCCATTTGCCACGTGTCGCGCTCTCATTGCTCCAGGAGCTGAGCGAGGTTGCGGAGGAGATCGTGAAGACCGACGGCTTGCCAGTCACGAGGAAGATCAACGGCCGATATTTACCGTCACACCTCAGCAACAGATTGGAAGGTACGGATGAAGCTCTTTTAAATTCCTTAGAGAATTCATTTTGAGAATTCTCAAATGTGACTAGGACAAAGCTAGAGGTATCCCATGGATCTATAGGTCATGAGTCGCATACATATTTTCTGCATGCCCTCCCATGCACCCTCCCATTCGCACACTCTGCTTGCCTCTTTCATCTTCCCCATACTCCCCCTCTCCCTTCCCCTTCCGTCCAGAGCTCTATTCCGACCTGAGGCAGCAGCTCGAGGGAATCGAGAAGCTGCGCCTGCGTGAAGTGCCCTTGGTGTGGTTTGGCATGGCGGAGGATGTGAAGGTGATGGGGTCGTTTGACGGCTGGACGTACGGCGAGCAGATGTCCCCTGAGACCACCGGCACCATGACCCGCTTCACCACCGTGCTCAAGCTGCGCCCTGGCAGGTAAGGATGGCTCACCTCTAGCTACCGCTCACCACCATTCACCACCGTTCTCCGCCATTCACCACCGCTCACCACTGTACTGCACCGTTCTCAGGCTGCGGTTCGGGGTAGGTATGGACAGCCTGTTCCAAAGGCAGCTCATCAGAGCAGATGTCCTCATTGAGAATTCTCAGAAGAGATTTGAGACCACCGGCACCATGACCTGCTTCACCACTGTGCTCAAGCTGCGACCGGGCAGGTATGGACGGCTCACCACTCACCACCACTCACCACCACTCGCCACCACTCATCACGACTCATCACCACTCATCGCCACTCATCACGAATCATCACCTCTCATCGCCACTCATCGCCACTCATCACCACTCATCACCACTCATCGCCACTCATCACCACTCATCACCACTTATCGCCACTCATCACCACTCATCGCCACTCATCGCCACTCATCACCACTCATCGCCACTCATCACCACTCATCACCACTCATCGCCACTCATCACCACTCATCTCCACTCATCACCACTCATCACCACTCATCGCCACTCATCACGACTCATCACCACTCATCACCACTCATCACGACTCATCGCCACTCATCACCACTCATCGCCACTCATCACCACTCATCGCCACTCATCATGAATCATCACCACTCATCGCCACTCATCGCCACTCATCACCACTCATCACCACTCATCGCCACTCATCACCACTCATCGCCACTCATCGCCACTCATCACCACTCATCGCCACTCATCACCACTCATCGCCACTCATCACGACTCATCGCCACTCATCACCACTCATCGCCACTCATCACCACTCATCACCACTCATCGCCACTCATCACGACTCATCACCACTCATCACCACTCATCACCACTCATCGCCACTCATCACCACTCATCGCCACTCATCACCACTCATCACCACTCATCGCCACTCATCACCACTCATCGCCACTCATCACCACTCATCGCCACTCATCACGACTCATCGCCACTCATCACCACTCATCGCCACTCATCACCACTCATCACCACTCATCGCCACTCATCACGACTCATCACCACTCATCACCACTCATCACGACTCATCGCCACTCATCACCACTCATCGCCACTCATCACCACTCATCGCCACTCATCATGAATCATCACCACTCATCGCCACTCATCGCCACTCATCACCACTCATCACCACTCATCACCACTCATCGCCACTCATCACCGCTCATCGCCACTCATCACCTCATCACCACTCATCGCCACTCATCACGACTCATCACCACTCATCACCACTCATCACGACTCATCGCCACTCATCACCACTCATCGCCACTCATCACCACTCATCGCCACTCATCATGAATCATCACCACTCATCGCCACTCATCGCCACTCATCACCACTCATCACCACTCATCACCACTCATCGCCACTCATCACCACTCATCGCCACTCATCGCCACTCATCACCACTCATCGCCACTCATCACCACTCATCACCACTCATCGCCACTCATCACCACTCATCACCACTCATCGCCACTCATCACGACTCATCACCACTCATCACCACTCATCACGACTCATCGCCACTCATCACCACTCATCGCCACTCATCACCACTCATCACCACTCATCGCCACTCATCACCACTCATCGCCACTCATCATGAATCATCACCACTCATCGCCACTCATCGCCACTCATCACCACTCATCACCACTCATCACCACTCATCGCCACTCATCACCACTCATCGCCACTCATCACCACTCATCACCACTCATCGCCACTCATCACGACTCATCACCACTCATCACCACTCATCACGACTCATCGCCACTCATCACCACTCATCGCCACTCATCACCACTCATCGCCACTCATCATGAATCATCACCACTCATCGCCACTCATCACCACTCATCACCACTCATCGCCACTCATCACCACTCATCACCACTCATCACCACTCATCGCCACTCATCACCACTCATCGCCACTCATCGCCACTCATCACCACTCATCGCCACTCATCACGACTCATCACCACTCATCACCACTCATCACGACTCATCGCCACTCATCACCACTCATCGCCACTCATCATGAATCATCACCACTCATCGCCACTCATCGCCACTCATCACCACTCATCACCACTCATCGCCACTCATCACCACTCATCGCCACTCATCGCCACTCATCACCACTCATCGCCACTCATCACCACTCATCGCCACTCATCACGGCTCATCGCCACTCATCACCACTCATCGCCACTCATCACCACTCATCACCACTCATCGCCACTCATCACCACTCATCACCACTCATCACCACTCATCACCACTCATCGCCACTCATCACCACTCATCGCCACTCATCACCACTCATCACCACTCATCACCACTCATCACCACTCATCGCCACTCATCATCACTCATCGCCACTCATCACCACTCATCACCACTCATCGCCACTCATCACGACTCATCACCACTCATCACCACTCATCACGACTCATCGCCACTCATCACCACTCATCGCCACTCATCACCACTCATCACCACTCATCGCCACTCATCACCACTCATCGCCACTCATCACCACTCATCGCCACTCATCACGACTCATCGCCACTCATCACCACTCATCGCCACTCATCACCACTCATCACCACTCATCGCCACTCATCACGACTCATCACCACTCATCACCACTCATCACGACTCATCGCCACTCATCACCACTCATCGCCACTCATCACCACTCATCACCACTCATCGCCACTCATCACCACTCATCGCCACTCATCACCACTCATCGCCACTCATCACGACTCATCGCCACTCATCACCACTCATCGCCACTCATCACCACTCATCGCCACTCATCACGACTCATCACCACTCATCACCACTCATCACGACTCATCGCCACTCATCACCACTCATCGCCACTCATCACCACTCATCGCCACTCATCATGAATCATCACCACTCATCGCCACTCATCGCCACTCATCACGACTCATCACCACTCATCACCACTCATCGCCACTCATCACCACTCATCGCCACTCATCACCACTCATCACCACTCATCGCCACTCATCACGACTCATCACCACTCATCACCACTCATCACGACTCATCGCCACTCATCACCACTCATCGCCACTCATCACCACTCATCGCCACTCATCATGAATCATCACCACTCATCGCCACTCATCGCCACTCATCACCACTCATCACCACTCATCACCACTCATCACCACTCATCACCACTCATCACCACTCATCGCCACTCATCACCACTCATCGCCACTCATCACCACTCATCGCCACATCACCACTCATCGCCACTCATCACCACTCATCACCACTCATCACCACTCATCACCACTCATCACCACTCATCACCACTCATCGCCACTCATCACCACTCATCGCCACTCATCATCACTCATCGCCACTCATCACCACTCATCGCCACTCATCACCACTCATCGCCACTCATCACCACTCATCGCCACTCATCACCACTCATCGCCACTCATCACCACTCATCGCCACTCATCGCCACTCATCGCCACTCATCACAACTCATCGCCACTCATCACCACTCATCGCCACTCAACACCACTCATCACCACTCATCGCCACTCATCGCCACTCATCACCACTCATCGCCACTCATCGCCACTCATCACCACTCATCGCCACTCATCGCCACTCATCACCACTCATCGCCACTCATCGCCACTCATCGCCACTCATCGCCACTCATCTCCACTCATCACCACTCATCGCCACTCATCGCCACTCATCTCCACTCATCTCCACTCATCACCACTCATCGCCACTCTTCACGACTCATCACGACTCATCGCCACTCATCGCCACTCATCGCCACTCATCGCCACTCATCACCACTCATCGCCACTCATCGCCATGCTCAAGCTGCAACCCAGGGCAAGCTGTTCCCTAGGCAGCTCATGAAAAACAGATGTGCTCAACTTCTGAGTTGACTCAAAAGCAGCTCTTGAAGAGCAGATGTTTCCTAGGGCCATGGGCACCGTGTCCTGATACGCCGATGTGCTCAAGCAATTGCTCATGGCTGCTAACCACACCACCCACTTGTTGCTCGGGCGCATGATCCACTCTTCTCACAGGGCCACTGCATTCCTGTGTGCCATGCCACCCTCATGGCCTTCCCCCATCCCATGATCACTTGCATCATGTCGAGGCTGCTTCTTGCGTGAGGCCATTCTGAGATTTTGCTTGTGTGCTTGCATCAAACTGTGTGCATGGATTTGTGTGTGCATGGGTGGTGCACGGGCATGCATGTGCAGGTATGAGATCAAGTTTCTGGTGGACGGCGGGTGGAGTGTGACGACAGATTGACCCACAGTGGGCCACAGCATGATTCCCTTCTCCCCCATCTTTTTGTACTCGCATCCTGCTGTGCATCGGCCTGTGCATTTGTGCACGGGCATGCATGTGTGCAGATACGAGATCAAGTTTCTGGTGGATGGCGAGTGGAGAGTGGCAACAGAGTGGCCCACCGTGGGCCACGGCATGCTCGAGAACAACATACTGACTGTTGAATGACCAAGGTAGCCTGTAAAGCGCGATAGCTGCACTGCTAAATGCCGCTCAATAGGTGCTCAATTAAAATCATTTTCTGTTGGGGTGATAGAACTGTGGCTTGCTCAGGGTGGTGGAGAGGTGACTGTATGTTCCAGTGCACTGCGGCCTACAGTATGCCATGAGACAGAACCATACCTTCGATTTGCAATTAAATAAAATCATATTGATGTTAGAAAGCTCAAATGGAATTAAATATAGATCTTGTGTCAGCTGAGCGAGCAATACGGTAACTTGCAATGCTAATTGAGATGTAAAACCGTACACCGCAATCTCAAATATATTGTAATTCCAAGCCAGCACAAGTAAAGGTACCTCCTATTACCACTAAATCACACCATCGCATGCTACACTTCCAAAAAACGTCATCATTTTACAATAAAATGTAACCAAACACAGGTTCTACCATACTACGGTAAACTGCACACACTGCAAAGGCCACCTAGTCATGCAATTCCGCTCTCAGCATGAGCACAAATCCACGGGTGATCTGCACGGATATAGTGACCAGAATCGGGAAGAAAGGTGGGTCATTGCGGCGAATGAGAAGGAAGGCGTGACACGCGCTGCATCAAAATAGTCTGTCACTAGCACTGCACATCCTCATGACAAGTGCTGATGACAGTGAGACAATGGATCAGGAGATGAGATGGAACACCCACCAAAGGGCTTAGGGTGAAGCAGAGACTTTCCATTTCGACACCCTTCAAGTTGGCATGTACACAGCTTGTATGGCGTACACACGTGCACCATCATCCCAACTCAAAGTGATGCCAAGTACTCACCCTAGCACGCACCCATGACATCCACATTTGTGATTCATGTTGGCGATCCACATTCACCATTCACATTTGTGATGCCTTTTCTGCAGAGTTCGGCCTCCCCATCACGTTTGTTATCCCACATGTGCATTTATGCCATCCATGCAGCGCCCTGCCCAGCCCAAGCACCCCAGCCCAAGCACCCCAGCCCAAGCACCCCAGCCCAAGCACCCCAGCCCAAGCACCCCAGCCTAAGCACCCCAGCCTAAGCACCCCTGCCACTCACCGAGCACCTCTTCCAAGGTGATCCTCGCCTCAGGGTCCCTCGTGAGCATCCGACGAACGAGATCCTCACAGCAGGGTCCCTCATGAGCATCCGACGGACGAGATCCTCACAGCAGGGTCCCTCGTGAGCATGGCCCTGTTCCCTCGAAGCTTTGGCCCCATCAGCCCCAACTGATGCAGCGCAGCCACTCACCGAGCACCTCTTGCATGGTGACCCTCGCCTCAGATTCACAGTCACGACACCACTCACGTTTGTGCTGCCGCTTGTGCAGGTGCATTTTTGCATCTGGCTGCCCCATCAGTTTCGCCATGCGGCACATACAGCTCAGAAAGAAACTACCACCCACGCATGGCCCTGTTCCCCCTGTTGAGATAATTTCATTCCAACACCCTCAAAGCCTGGTTCCTCCAGCCCTACCCTAAGCAGCCCACCCACTCACCTAGCATCTCTTCCATGGTGATCCTCGCCGCAGGGTCCCTCGTGAGCATCCGACGAACGAGATCCTTCGCTCCTTCCGAGATCGACGGCCAGGGCTTGCTCGTGAGGTCGATCTCCTTGCATCGGACGGCCTGGAAGATCTCATCGTTGGAGCCGCCAGAGAAGGGTGGCGATCCGGAGAGCAGCACAAAGAGCACCACCCCCGCGCTCCACACATCCGCCTGCAACCCATACTGCTCTGATAACACCTCAGGGGCTAAGTAGTAGGGCGAGCCTACCCTCTCTGTGCACTTTGTGCCTGGAAGGGAGCAGGCGGAGGTGAATGAGAAGAAGAGAAGGTGGTTTGAGGCTCCAAACATCCGCCTGCAGCCTATACTGCTTTGTCAGCACCTCCGGGGCCATATATTAGGGCGAGCCCACTCACTCTGTGCGCTGTGTGCCTGTAGGGAGGGGTGCGCAGAAGGATGGATGGGGGCCGGCAACCCGTACTGCCCTGTCAGCACCTCTGGGTCTGAACAATAGGGCGAGCCCACTGGCTCTATGCATTGTGCAAGTGTAGTAAAGAGTGGACATTAAGGGGAATGGGGAGTGAGGGATAGATGGAGGGAGATGGGTTGGAGTGGGATGGGGGAAAGGGCTTGGTTGTAGAGGTATGGTGGAGAGGACATGAAGAGGGGAATGGGCGGAAAGCAATGGGAGGTGAGGAGAGGTTGGGCGGGAGGGGGGAATGGAGAATGGGCGGAGGCGAATAAGGTGGGGGAAATGGGATAGGAGGGAATGGGGTGACGGGAATGGGTGGAGAGAGCCTGGTGGGGGGGTTACACCTACCAGGCAGCAGCAGAGTGGCGGCCCCAAAGTCGGTGAGCTTGATGCTCGTGTCGTCCCCCCGCGAGCACAGCAGAATATTCTCCGGCTTCACATCCCGGTGAAGGGAGGGGAAATGGGCAGAGTTTATTGGCGGAGGGGAGCGGGCGGAGGGGAATGGGCGGAGGGAAATGGGTGGGGGGGAACACCTACCAGGCAGCAGCAGCGCGGCGGCCCCGAAGTCGGTGAGCTTGATGCTGGTGTCGTCCGCTCGCGAGCACAGCAGAATGTTCTCCGGCTTCACGTCCCGGTGCGCCAGCCCCCGCGCGTGCAGGAACGCCAGCGCCGACGCCAGCTGGCGCGCCACGCTGGCGGCGGCGGGCTCGCTGTACCGCTGACGTGTCACGATGCGGTGGAAGAGCTCGCCACCGTGGCAGAGCTCCATGATGATGTGGACGGCGCGCGCGTCTTCGAGCGCCTCGTGCATGCTGACTATGCGCGGGTGCCCGCGCGAGCGCTGCATCATCTGCACCTCCCTCCGCACCTCGTCACACTCCGCCTCACACTGCGCGGGGGTTTGGCGCAGCATGGGGGGCGGGGGAACGACGGGGGAAGAGGACACATTGCGTGACGCACTTATCAGTGCGTGCCATGCGAGCAACGGGATCTGCACTATCAATGCACTATCCATCACTAGCGATGGCATTCTGAAAGATCTCAGAATCATTATGCCACTCACAATCATGGCGGCCTTGCTGATGGTCTTGCACGCGAACTGCCGCCCAGTCGCGCGGCACCTGCACGCGCGCAGCACGCCCACCTTGCCCCGCCCCAGCTCCCCCTCCGCCACCTCATACCGCGCCTCAAGCTCTGCGTACGGCCGCCCCAACACGTGCTGCGTGAACTCCCGCTCCCCCTCCTCCGCGCCGTCCCCCTCTTCCCCCAATATTCCCCCTGCATAGCTCCCCGCGTCCCCCCGCGCGCTCAGCTCCACTGTAGAGACTGTCTCCCGCACCAGCGCTGGTCCGAACGGGGAGGTTCCGCGCGCGGGGGACGAAACAGGGGGGGAGAAAACGAGCGGTCGGAGGCTGGGGGAAGCGACGCGGGGGTTGGCGGAAGGATCCGCAGAGGCGCGCGCAGCCGGGCTGATGACGATCGGGGGGACGGGGGAAGGCCTGGCGCCGATGCCGCACGCCGGTGTGTACCTTGATTTGCTGCGACTGACCGTCGGTGTGCAGAAGCCGTGTCCCGTGGTGGTGGTGGTGGTGCTGCTGCTGCTGTGGCTGCCGAGCCCGCTGCTGCTGCTGTTGTGAGTGTTGCTCTCGCTTCGGCTGGTAGGGAAGCGGCGCGTCTTCTGACCGCGCGGAGGGGTGTGCGGGACTTTGAACGGCGCGGCGAGGGCCTCAAGGGCGGACTGCTCGAGCGACACCGTGCGACCGACACTCTCCTCCAATCTCTGGCTCCCACCAATGCCGCCTGCCATGTCAGCATGATCCGACGGTCTGTCAGCGCTGTCGCCGTCAATCTGCTCGAGAAAAAGCGCGGGAAACGCGCTTTCACTCCTGTAGAGGGAACGGGGTCCTGACACGCCTTTCAACCGCAGATCCTGCAGCTGTTGTTGTTGCTGCTGCTGCTGCTGCTGACTCTCTAATGGTTGCTGTTCGTACAGACGACGCTCATCAGGCTGATAGTGCTTCGGCCGACACGGCTGCTGCGCCAGCGGCGGTCGCTGATCCACACCGCCGTGCTGAGTCGGCCGCTTCTGGTTCGGATGCCGGCTCGTTCTCCACGGCCTGAACGCCGGAGGACCTTCATTTGCGGATGGAGCAGACGCAGACGGAGACGGATCGACCACCGCGGTACGAGCCTCGCGAGGGAAGATGTCGGAGGAACCGTCGCCAGGTAGTGCGGCGTGAAGCTGAGCCGCAGCTTCGCTGCAGGTTCTCCTTATCGCAGCGCTCCGGTCCGTGATTCCCGCGCGTGCGATCGCCTTTTCCTCGTCGTGCTTCGCCATGTGGTAACCAGCACATTGGAAGCCGTCGTTTTGGAACTCGTTATTGTCGGCGCCGAGGCCTCTCCATCGCTGCTTCAGCCCATCAAGGAGCTCGTGCTCGCCTGTCCTCGCTTTAAAGCTTCTCGCTCTCGCGTTACAGGGTCCTTCGGACATCACCACGGGAGGCATTATCGAGATCTCTCCGATGGACTTCGATAGCCGGAACTTACGACCTGTACTACACTCAGGCAAGTCAAAGAGACGTGTCTTAGGAACGGGAGAGGCGGATAGATTAGGGAGGTTTTCCACGTCGATTTTGCGTCCGGTGCCGGTTCGGGGTTGGCTCGGCCGGAGCTCGGGAGTAACCTGATTGGAGGATTGGCTGTCGAGCAGAGGAAAGACGAGAGGAGGAGACACGGCGTCATCGGAGCCTGCTGACTTGGGACCAATGGTAGGCGTTTGTAGATTAATCGACGGTTCCGAAGTTGACGGTGTACTTAAACCGTATGAAGTCATTTGCCGTCTCTGGTCAGCTGGATTCGTGTCTTGAAATTTGGCCGGACTTTTCACGCAGTAGCACGCCATTTAATCAGGAAAGTTTTAAGGAAAATAGCAATCACGTTAAGAATAAAAGAATCCGCTGAAGCGCTGGGGAGAAGGATCTGTTGCGAAATCACCTGAAGGTCCTAGATAGCACGAATCGAGTACAGCTTCACGCAAGGGGAATAGGCGTTTGCCGATGAAGCATGTCTGTGCTGCCGTCTTCAGCTAGTGCCGATTCCTCGATCTGACGCCTACTCTACTAATGCTCATTTTATCACCTGAAACCTGCAACAGATATGACCAATGTCCAGTCATTCAAATCACGGAGGGCATTACAATTGATGGAGGAAGCATAGATACTAATCAATCATGTGATGTACCAGCAATTCCTGTGCTACCCGCTGGATCCATCCTGCCATGGCTCATGAGGGAGCGTTCCCACGGTTTGGATTGTGTGAGTCTGACCACGCGGCTCGCAAATTTCCAATGTTGTAAAAATTGAATGGTCGCGACTCCAGGTCTGGACACCATTGTGCAAAGAATCTGGGTCGTAAGATAACATCCGCAAACCTCGGTGTGAAATGCACTCGAAGGGCAGGGTCACGAATCACTTTTGGGGCGAAAGCGTTTTAAAAATCGAGAAGAAACCCTCTCCCCGTGCAAAAACCAAAGTCAACTCCACGCTCGAACAAACAGAACTACTTGATAAAATACACCTGAAAATTAATGCTGGACCTCGCTACGGTTGGCGAAACTTTGATTTGCTCTGTAATTGGAGGCGAGATTGTCGCCGAAATTGCGAATTCTGGGCATAAGACACTGTGGTGTCCAAAGTGGGGAAACACCCCACCATGGACACCATCCCGCCGAATCACGAGACGCGTGGGTGGACTCACGTCTGGTCCAAACCGTGGGAACGCCATCTGAGTCATGAAAGTCTGGCAAGGATTTCTCATGCTGGTGCCTCCTTGCTGACCGCATCACGGGTCGCCTGCTGCAGCATGTGCTAATCGTTGACATCTATTAACCGTCGGATAATTGCCGCCAACAGCGGGAGAGAATCGACGGTGCATTTTGACTCTCTCGCGTGTCGCGCCAAGGCACACCACCACCTTCTCATCTGCCCATTCGCTGACGAGGTGTGCTCTGACAGTATGGTTCCCGCCAGTTTGCCCCGACTGCAAGGTCGGGGAAAAATGTGGCTTACTGGTAATGTTACGTATCTGTTCCAATGTTTTCCATACAAAGTGAATTCCTCATTACATGGAGCTGCGCTGCAAGACTCTGGTCTGGTGATGATTCGTTAGTGTAAGAAAACTCCACCACACACACATATACGCTGGTGCCAAGGGTACCTTCTGTGACCATTTTCTAGGTAGGATTGTTCCGAATGATGTGCACCGCAAAGTCCCACGATGTTCCCCCGTTTTTGGAGGTGCTCCTCACCGAGACTGTAGAGATTGGATGGATGAGATGCGCTGGTCCGATGTGGCGGGAGTGCTCCACCACACATGCAAGAATGACTTCGTAATGATGAAAAGCGTGTGCCAGGTGGTCCCAAAAATAGCTCCCGACACACCAGAAAGCCAAAAAAAAATCGCCACATCGACAGAGAAATGTCGTTCATTGGCCGGAACTCTCTAAAGGAATTTCTACCGCGTGGCCAATTGACGACGTGGCCAAGCTCTTGGGATTTGGGCAAACGGAGAGCACTTTGAGGGGGCATCATTCACACGAGTCCGCAATCCGAGAGATCATTGTAATCACATTCTCGCCCTCTCACTCGCCTGCATTATGATCCGCCTTTCTTCGTTGGCCCTCCTTACATTTGCTTCACCTTGAAAACTCCGCAGGTCCTCGGACTGCTTGCTGCTGCCTGAATTCTTTGTCGACCATCAACCAGGGAGAGAGTCAGCCTTTGGGAGGATTTCGCGAGCAAGCACATAGGGAATGACATCCTCAAACCTGATTTTTTAATCATAATATTATTGTGACCATCGCCAGTAATCCATCGCCAGTCACCGTTTCCCACTCCAAGCTCTTAACTTCTGCCATACTTTTCTCACAATGAGTTGCGTAGCTGTTGCTGGTTGCTCGCTAAGAGCCTCGGTTCCTTCGAAGTCTTTTTCGCTGGGAGCAGAATGCCGCGTGCACGCCGTACGAGAAGTGTCCCTCGTGCAGCGATCCAGGCGCCTCGTCACTTACGCCGTGGCTGAAATGCCAAATACCAGATCGCCGCAGACCGCCAAAGGCTCTACATTGGACGAGCCGATCCCCCTCGAAGACGAGAAAATAAAGATCGCAGCGGCAGTTGCGGAGAGCCTTCCAGCCGCCGCGTCGGCGGGTCTTTCAGAAACGGCGCTGGAGCGGAAGAGGCGGCGACAAAGTGAGCGATCCACGTACCAGCTGGCCGCGATAGCGTCAAGTGTGGGAGTCACGTTCCTCGCTGTCGGCGCCGTCTGGTACCGCTTCGTCTTCCAGACGCAGGTAAGCTGCACTGATAGCGCGATCAGGCGAAAGTGGTTGAAGTATTGATAACCAACCATTTCACTCTCGGAAATCAAAGTGAGAAACCAAAAACGCCCAAAGTCAATGGTTTTGCCACAAAAAGTGTTTCTTTTGTCATTAAGGATTAATATGCGGCTTCACTGGGTGCGTGCAGGGCGAGACGGTCCCCATAGAGGAGGTGGTGGGCACGGTGGCGCTCGTGATTGGCGCGGCCGTGGGGATGGAGTTCTGGGCGCGATGGGCGCACGACGCGCTGTGGCACGGATCCCTGTGGAGCATGCACAAGGTAACGGGGGTTCTTTGACTAACAAGGCAATAACGGCAATGCATGGGGTGGCATTAATCTTAAATCCAATGACAAGCAGCTCTGTGTGAGAGCCGGGCTGCCATCATTTGCTCGCTCAAAAAGTTGGTCTGTATCGCGTGGCACCACCCTCAGATCCCGCTTGATATTTTTGTTCCCATCCGTGACGAGCCGAACCAGCGCCGAGCCTCGTGCATGATTAGCATGTTCATCACGGCCAACCTCTTGCCTTCCCTCTCGCTTCTCCCCCACCAGTCGCACCACGAGCCGCGCGAGGGCGCGTTCGAGCTGAACGACGTGTTCGCGATCATCAACGCGGTGCCCGCCATCGCGCTCATCGCCTACGGCTTCTTCAACCCGGGGCTCGTCCCCGGCCTCTGCTTCGGCGCCGTACGTTGCCACACCTCTTCAACCCTTTTTTGTATTAGGCGCGCCACATTTTCTTATCTCCTTCCGCCTGCCACCCCTCGCTCTCCTCGCGCTCATCGCCTACGGCTTCATCAACCCCGGGCTCGTCCCCTTCCTCTGCTTCGGCTGCCTTTTACCTCGTCTGCCTTCCGCCTTCCTCTGCTCCTCTGCCTTCTCGCCTCGTCATTTATTCCCCCTCCTCGTTCTCCCAGTCGATATGCTCAAGGCTTTAATCTAGGGATTGCGCCACGCACCTTTTCCTCCCCCGTCTCCCCACAGAGTCAGCGCATCACCATGTTCGGAATGGTCTACATGTTCGTGCACGACGGGCTCGTGCTTCAACGTGCCCTCCCTGTGCCGCCCCTTGCCTCTGCCGCTTCCCCTCCCCCTCCTCGTTCCCCTCTCAGGGCCTGGTCATCACCGTGTTTGGAATGGCCTACATGTTCGTGCACGACGGCCTAGTGCATCATTGCGCTCTTGCCTCTCTCTGGTCCTTACCGCTCCCCTCTTCCCTCCGCCTTTCCCCCCACAGGGCCTGGGCATCACTGTGTTCGGAATGGCCTACATATTCGTGCACTAAGGATTTGAGCTTTAAGACACTCCTCCTACGCCGCTCCCTACTTCTTCCCCTCCGCTTCCCTCCCACAGGGCCTAGGCATCACGGTGTTCGGAATGGCCTACATGTTCGTGCACGACGGGCTGGTTCACCGGAGATTCCCAGTGGGCCCCATCGCTGACGTCCCGTACTTGAAGCGAGTTGCTGCCGCCCACCAGGTATGCCTCCCCTGCCCTGCCAGCATTGGTGGACGGCTCAAAGGTAACACCAGCATTCCCAGTGGGTTCATCGCTGACGCCCCAAACTTGAAGCGAGTCGCTGCCGCCCACCAGGTACGCCTGCCCTGCTGCAACGCTATCTTCTCAACCCACCATCGCTCCTTGCCGTCACTGCAGTCCCTGTTCGCAAGTAACCCATGTCCTGGTTTTCCCACCAATCCTTTCCCCCACTCGCCCCTTCTGCTTCCCACCCTCCCCCCCACCAGCTGCACCACGCGGACACGTTCAAGGGGGTGCCGTTTGGACTGTTCCTGGGCCCGGGCCAGCTGGGGCTGGTGGGCGGACGATTGCCCTTGTTCCACTGATCTTACTCTCTGCTTCCACCCCTCCCGCCCCCCTCCCCCCCACCAGCTGCACCACGCGGACAAGTTCAATGGAGTGCCGTTTGGGCTGTTTCTGGGACCGGGCGAGCTGGAGAGGGTGGGTGGGCTGTCAGATCTAGAGGAGCTGCTGGCGGCGCGGCAAGGGGGCGAGGGGAAGAAGCAGTGAGGGGAGGAAGCAGTGAGGAGGAGCGTGGGGAAGGGGAGCTGTGTAGAGACGCCTCAAGGCGAGCTGGAGAGGGTGGGTGGGCTGGCGGATTCAGAGGAGCTGCTGGCAGCACGGCAGGGTTAGGGGAAGAAGCAGTGAGGGGCGCATTGAGGAGAGAGCGTGATGGTGAGTAGTGAATAAATTGTGAAGTGGGAATGCTTACGAGTGCCTTGGGGCACAGGAGTCGCACCGTTTTTACGCGCTGATGCTGATATTTTAACGGTTGCAGAACGGTGCGGCAGGGTACTGCAAGGTGCCTGCTCTACCAGACAGAATTACCTTGGTGGATAGTTGTGTTAGGTTTGTTCATATGTCAGGAATGTGGTACCTAGCTGATTTGCCTGCAATATCAAGAGTACATGGGTTTCTCATCTCAATTGCGACTGTTACCAATCAACAGCTCCACTCCACTGCAGAGCGCATAGGGTGTCAGTAGATCTGCACTGTGGATGCCCGATTGATCCTAAGGGGATTACAGGCGCGTTCGCCTGGGGGGTTATGGGCGCACAAACTCGCTATACAAACAAGCTCTTTTATCCCAATGTTCTAGTGGTTGGGATTTCTGACATGGTATCAGAGCGGTCTCGGGTTCGAATCCCGGTGTATGCACATGTAGGCCGTTGCCGCTGTGCTCAGTCCTGAGCCTCCCAGTATGGGGGGTGTCAGTAGATCTGCATTGTGGATGCCCGATTGATCCTAGGGGGGCTACACGCGCGTTCGCCTGGGGGGTTATGGGCGCAGAAACCCGCTATACAAACAAGCCCTTTTATCCCAATGGTCTAGTGGTTGGGTTTCTGACATAGGGGAATATACTCCTAGCAACCTTATCACCAACCAAGCATGGCAGCCACATGGCTGGTGGGAACCAAAATGAATTCTGCCTGGCTTTGCCTTGGCAGATCTTGGGGGGATTTGCGAGTTCCGGTGGTGCTGTTGGTGGTACTGCTGCTGCTGCTACTTCTGCTGCTGGCGATGCTGCTGGTGGTGTTGATGGTGGCGTTGTCTCGGATGCAGCTGCGTCCTACACCATCACTACCGTTGCAGCTGCATGTGAGACTGAGCCTGCCAATGCTCATGGTGATGTTGATGGCGGTGATGGTTGTTAAAATAAGCTTAGTAGTGCCTAGGGTTTGGGTGCTAGGCAACTATCGAGAGTAGAAAGGAAGGGTGTTTGACTAAAGGGCCAAAGGCCCAAGTTATACAAGAGACAAGCAAGGAGGGGGTGCACCACAAGCAGGACATCAATATTACACTACAGCTAGAACTACATGCAGTTATACATTATTATATTATGACACACCCCCTAACTGCATGCAGGAATAGCCATGTGCATAACACCCCCCTGAAGGGGTACACCATGCGCAGCGGAAGACAACAGAGAGGAATGCGAGGAGGAGACGAGAGAGAGAGAGAGGGGAGAGGAGAGGAATGAGGAGAGGAGGTGGGGGTAGCCACGCGGCGAGCCCCTCTTACGAACCCCCATTTTACAAAGGGGGGGGATGAGAGAGGGATGAGGAGAGGAGGTGGGGGGAGCCACACGGCGAGTCCCTCTTACGAACCCCCTTTTTACAAAGGGGGGGGGGGGAGAGAGGGAGGAGAGGAGGTGGGGGGGAGCCTAGCACGACGAGCCCCTCTAACCCCCTAATTCCACGCCCCCTTTCAGCCACCCCCCTCAACCTCACCCCCCTTGTCAACCGCCCCCTGGAACCTCACGCCTTCCCCCCCACCCTTCCTCCAACGCCTTCCCCACCCATGGTGGTCCCTGCTCAAGCCTTCACACGACGTCCAGAAGCCCGCCACCCCCTCACCCTCCCCCCCACAGCGGCACGTGCGGCAGTGAGAGAGAGAGGAGGAGCGGCGGCAGCTGGGTGCTCACACCCGCCACCCCAAACCCCCCCCCCCCCCCCCCCCCCCCCCCCCACAGTTGCACGCGCAGCAGGGAGAGAGAGGGGAAGGCGAGCGGCAGCGGCAGTAGCTCCTCCCGTCACTCCCACCACTCCACCCTCTCCACCCTCCCCCCTTCCACAGCAGCAGGTGCGGCCGTGAAAGAGGGAAGAGGAGGGTGGTGCTGATGGTGCCACCTCCCCCTTACACCCCCTCCCCCTCCCCCCAAACTGCTGTACACGCAGTAGGGAGAGGGAATAGAAGGGGGGGGGGGGGGCGAGGTGTGCGATCTGGTGGGGCGGGCGTGGGCGGGCAGGGCACACGAGGCGCCGGGCAGAGGCCCACGAGGCGCCGGGCAGAAACCGCCGCTGCAGTAGGAACAGCAGGGGGGGGAAGGAGAGGCGGAGGGGGTGGGCTGCTGGCTTGGTGACGAAGCAGAGCAGCAGGGCGTTGGAGGTGCAACCACCCCCCACCGCCACTCCTGCGCACGACGGGCAGAAACCGCCGCACGCTCGGGGCGCGCGACGGGCAGAAGGGCGCATGAGCGGAAGCATACGGTGGGCCCAAGGGGGAATCGGTCTAGGAACGACCGGCTCTTAATACCATGTTAAAATAATAGTAGTGCCTAAGGTTTGGGTGCTAGGCAACTATCGAGAGTAGAAAGGAAGGGTGTTTGACTAAAGGGCCAAAGGCCCAAGTTATACAAGAGACAAGCAAGGAGGGGGTGCACCACAAGCAGGACATCAATATTACTACACTACAGCTAGAACTACATGCGTTATACATAAATATATTATGAAAATGGTGTTGCGTCAGCAGTCTCGCCTCCGTCTACCGCTGTTGTATTAGGGAGCGAGTGATGGGAGTGCCTGAGGCCTCATCAGGCAACACCGATGCTGCCTTTGGTTCCGCACTGCTCGCTAGGTAAGGGTTTTTGAGACACAAGGCAAAATACCCAAGGCTGGGTGTGGTAGCACTGGTGAGCACAGGCACCTTACCTCATGTTGCTTCTTGCCAAGCTAATAACCACTCAACTTCAAGATCATCTTTTATAATGTGAGTGGGTGTACAGAATTGCATAGCAGGCTGGTAAATGATGCAGTACCAAAAAATTTATCAACCCAAAACACTGGTAGCTAGGTAGGTACAAACAGGCTATATGATAACTCCATCAATCAAAACTTGTACCGCAGAATCTAGCGGGCCTGCTCCTGGCCAATCAAATGCAGCCACGCGTCAGACCAGGAACCCAGAGTGTCGTTTTTGTAGCTGCCAAGTCAACCAGTGACGCCACATACAGCCACGTGCCAGACCACCAGGCAGCTGAGGAGTCAGATGATATGCGACAAACACGAGCAGCCACACTCGCAGAAAATGGAGCGGTGAAGGCAGGCCTGAGAGTGTCGCACAAGCAACGGAATTCACCCACTTGAGTGGCTGGGTTGTGGAAGAGTGAAGGGGGGTGTGAGAGATGAGGGAAATGAGGGGGTGGTGGTAGGAGAGGGGAGGGAGTTGAAGGGTGGATGGGGAGGGGGGGGAGGAGGAGGGGTGGGGGGAGACGAGGCATCACTAGGGGGGAAGTTGAGGTATCGGAGGGGGAAGGGGATGAGGGGTGAGTCTGAAAGCGGGGAACGGGGGAGGATGGGGAGAGGGGGAACGGAGTGAGACAAGGGGAGATGAGGTTGGGCGTGAAGGAAGAAAACAATAGAGTGCGGCAGTGATATGAAGGGGGGGCTGGTTGGATGAAGGGAGAAAGGGGGGAATGACAGGAGCGCAGGGAAGATGAGGGGAGAGCAGGGGAGAGCGGGGAGACGAGGGGGGCGCGGGGAGAAGAGGGAAGAGCGGGGGAATGAGGGGAAAGCAAGGAAGATGAGGGGAGAGTGGGGAGGATGAGGGGAGAGCAGGGAGGATGAGCGATTTGAGAAGCTGAGAGATACGTGACGTTTCTAGGCCTTCCAAGGGAGAAAAGGGAGGGCTGGGAAGCAGAGAGATGAATGACGTTTCCAGGCTAGGTCATAGGGTGAAAGTGTAGAGAAGGGGAAGCAGGGGAAGGGGGAGGGCGGGGAAAGGGGGGGAGGGGGAGAGTAGAATAAAGGGGGAAGGGGGCTGATTCGCCTCGACCTTTTGCCGATCCTTTCCGTCATCAAATGTTCATTCTTGAAGCACCTCAAAAGACAATTTTGAGGCGACTTTTTTTAGGCGCCTCAAAAACCGATTCTTTCCGTCTTCAATTGTTCATTCCGTCTGTTCCGCTTTCACCCGTCCATTCCGTCTGTTCTCCCTTCCAGTCTCCACTCAAGTCCAGACTACCGTCGACGCTACCATCGACGCACTATCAAGTCCAAGAAGATAAGGCTGACAGAGGCAAGGGGAGGGGGAAGGGGAAAATAAGGGGGAAAGGGAAAATAAGGGGGAAGGGGAAAATAAGGGGGAAATAGCCGCTTCGCCGTTCCGCCAGTCCTCTCCGTCCAGTTCCCCCTCTTCTCCCTTCCATTCCCCTCCATTCACCTCCACTCACCACCACTCACCTCCACTCACCTCCCGTCCTCCTTTTCCGCGTCTCGAGTCCGAGATACCGTCGACGCTCCGAAGTTATGAGGGGGAAAGCAGAAAAGGGAGGGGGAAGGGGAAATTATCGTCACCTCCGCTCACCTCCCTTACCGCGTCTTGCGTCCAGGATACAGTCGACGATGTGAGGTACGTGAAACCGCGCTGTATAATCGACGAAACGCACTACGTTACTGATGCGTACGAAATCGACGATAGTAATTCGTCCGCCGACAAACGTTATAATTCTGCGCATTACGCAAGTAAATGGAAGTCAGATCTGGAGCGCGCAACTAGAAATTGTCTTACTGAGACTTCGACATTTGATCCCATCTGATACTGCTAGCACGCCAATACACGCGTGAAGCGGCTAAATGTACGTACGACCGAGGAGTGAGCGGCACTTGCTGCATCGTCGAAGAATTCTATTTTATATCGGCTACCGCGCTGAGATCTGACATAGCAAAACTACTACCGAACACAACTAGGGCAAGGTAATATAAGTCAGACCCACGATATTACATCTGGTAAGTGGCAGCTGAGAAGCATTCGGTGTGGCAGGTTCGGAAAATCGAGGTTCGGGATGTTGATATTGCCATGGTGGTTGGGCCAGGGTGTCAAAAACACATCATTCCAATTGGTTGGCGCAAATCTCTACTCATCCACCCGTCGTTTTCCCAGCTGCCCGAGACAGGATGAAAGCGAGTCGCAGCGCCACGGTCGATCACCCCCCAACCAACCAAATCCGTCCCGCAACTCACGCCAAAACTAACAATAGCGCCACGTCAGCCACCTCCTAGAAAGTTCGAGCCTGCCCTTGCAAACCAGCGCACCCTACAACCCCCCCCCCAGCAGTGATACGCGCCCTTAGCATATTCGTTTGCATACTGACAATTCCAACCAATATTCAAATTTAACCCAACTCTGTACAGTACTATGAATGGGCAACATGGTTTGGGCTGGATGGAAGGTGGGGACACATTTTGACCTGCCTCAACATGTTCACCACGCGCTCTCGGGAAATGTCCTTAGCCGCTTAGTCGGCGGGGCATTTCATTGGCCAATGGCAATAGCCGCCACCACGCCTCCATCCTATGCCACAGCCAAATGTAATCGTCACCGTTGAGGATGGTTACACCACCACCATCCACCCATTCACAACACACTCGGTTTACTTTTGCACCGCGCACCCAGCGTGGTGTCAGTAATTCCCTCCACTCTGGCAGAGTGAGATTGTGGCACCCCGTCCGACCGTACTGCACCTAGGTAAATACCGTAACCTTTTATTACTCAGATACAGCAACCCATCACATTTGGTTTGAAGCTGCCGTACGACGCGCCATGGCGGCTGAATTGCTGACTTGAATTCATTCTGCCACTCATCAGGAGCACTCTGTTCCTTCTGTTTCAGCAACTACCTCTGCTACCTTTATGAGCATAACTCTGGAAGTTGTGTCCTTGTCGTCCATTTTCGTCCTTCTCAAACTCACGGACGGAATGATTCTTCGAAAGCTCCAACCTAATGAGCTTAGAATTCAGGCTAGAAGCTCCGCCCACGGAGAAAACTGTGCTACCTGAAGCCACCTGGTTACTAGTAAACGGAGAAGCCCATGGCATAAAGCGGCGTTGAGTTAGAATAGAGGTCGGTTTAGGGGTGGGTGGGTAGAGTCCTGTGAGGAGCGAGCTGTGGAGAGTCACTCTACAACGGTGGTGAGCTAGACTACAAGGTTGGCACGAACTACTAGAAGTGATCGTAGCTTTCCTAGTTCCTTGGTGCTTGCACAATTACGGGAGAAATCGGCAAGAGTTTTCACTAGCAAAGTTGGAGTTACAGAATGATAGGACAAGCAATGACAAGAATGACTACATCAGGCACCTAGCAACTCTGCAGCTAGCCTGGTCGACAGACAGCACAGCATGGTCGACCGCGTGCCAGCGTTGCGTAGAGGAGCCGCGCCAGCACTGCAAAAAGGCGACCTGCCAACCCAGCAAGTCGACGGTGTGCCAACGCTGCAGCAGAGCGGCTGTCCAGCGTTGCCCCGTAGAAGACAGCAGTGCGCACGCTCGCAGGTGTACGCAGATGATTGGCCCGACTTGCACCGTTCCGCATCCGTTGGCCTTTGCCTGCGCATGACGAGCCACATTGACTTCGGGATACCAACCTGAAGTCGCCTTCGCCATCGCGATTTCGACGACGTTTGCGTGCCTCCGCATAACTCGTCGAGCAGGTTACCTGGTCGACCTAGACAACCCCAGGTGCTCTGGTCGACCACCGGGTCCCTCTGATCGACCACAACTCCCGTCGAGCTACCCCCTGGTCGACGGACCCCTTCCGTCGACCAGAACTGTCAGCTGTTGTCGACGAGCTCCCCTCGTCGACGGCTGCTCACTTCTCAGGTCGACGGACTGCTCCGTCGACCTCCCGGTCGAACTGCCCCTCCTGGTCGACGGCCCTCACGTCGCCCAGACTAGTCAGTTATTGTCGACGAGCTCCCTGGTCGACATCAACACCACAGCGGTCCCCTGCAGCTCGACGAAGCCTGTTGAGCAGCTCTCCCACTGTGGATGGTCGGCCGCTACTTCCGTACATCCGACCAAGTCGTCGGCGTTGCCCAAGCGAGGGCGGGGCCAACACTTCATTCCCGTTAACACTCCCCTGCCGCGCTCCAGCTTGGGCCTCCAACCCTCACGGCAGTATTCCACGGAGAAGACTCGTTCTCAGCGTGCACCCCACACACAGCACGCCGCCACCGCACCAGCCGTGCAGGAGGGCACGGCACCTACTGCTGCACGTCATCGTCGCCATCGCCGACGTCGACCAGACGAACTTGGCCGATGGCGACAGAGCACCGGTTGAAAGCCGGAAAGTGCAGCGCCTTCGTCAGGAAGTCTGCTGGCTGCTCGATGGTCGGGATGTACTTCGGTACGAACTTCCCGCGCCTCACCATGTGCTGCAGCCAGGCATAGCGTCGCTCCATGTGCTTGAGGTTGCCTGTCAGCCCCATGACTTCAGCGACCGTGATTGCCGACTTGTTGTCGACGCGGAGGATGGTCGGCTTCCCAGCGTCGAGCAGCTTGAATTCTGCAAGAAGGAAACGAAGTCGGCGTCCCTCCTTGCCTGCATTCGTGGCCGCCACGTACTCCGACTCGGTCGACGACAATGTTGCGCACTTGATGCGCGAGCTCGACCAGGAGACGGCGGCTCCTCCGTAGACGAACACGTAGCCTCCCGTGCTCGTACGGTCGTGCTTGTCGCCCGCGTCGTCGGCATCCACGTAGCCGATCAGCTCCAGCGACTCTGGTCCACCGCCAAACTCCAGGGAGGTGTCGCGGGTGTCAGCGAGATAAGCGAGGCAGCGGTCGACCTCGCGCCAATGCTGATCGCTCCTCACCGTAAGGCCGCTCCCCAGCTTGCTGTAGGCGAACGCGATGTCCGGCCTCGTCGTCGTCGCCGCGAACTGCAGCGAGCCAACCTTCTGCCGGTACTCCTCCTCCTCGCGCCCCTGCGCCTCCTCGTCGTCGAATGTCAGCTCGGCGTAGGCATCGACCGAGACAGGCGTCTTTGGGAGTCGACCGCCCTGCTCCTCGTCGATGAAGCGCCTTCGCAGCTTATCGGCGTAGCCCTGCTGGTGAAGCCACAGCTTCCTCGCTGGCCTGTCGCGCACAATCTCCAACCCGAGGTACCTGACGACCGGCGAAATCTCGCGCAGCTCGAAGGCAGCCTCCAGCAGCCCCTTTAGCTCCTTCAGCATCGCGGGGCTGCTGCTGGCGGCGAGCAGGTCGTCGACGTAGACCAACACCCAGCAGGTCACTCCGTCGTCGCCGGCCTTGAAGTAGAGCGCCTCGTCGACCTGGCTCTTCCTCCAGCTAGATCCCAGCAGCACTCCATCGAGTGCCCTGTACCACAGCAGCGGCGACTGCTTCAGCCTGTAGAGGTTCTTCAGCAGCTTACACACCCGGCCGGTCCCATCGTCAAAGTAGTCAGGCTGGTACATGTAGAGCACCCTGTCGAGCTTGCTCTGCAGGAAAGCGTTCTTCATGTCGAGCTGCATCAGAGTGAGGTCGAAGACGGCGACGATGCTGAGGAAGATCCTCAGCGTGACGTAGCTGCTCACCGGCGAGTACGTCTCGTCGTAGTCGGCACCGCACACCTGCGTGAAGCCCTTCACGACCAGCCTCGCCTTCTCGCGCTCGACGGTGTCGTCAAGGCGGTACTTGGTCGTCAGCACCCACCGGTTCTTCATGATGTTCACCTCGCGTGGGCATTTGACCAGCTCCCAAGTGCCCATGCCGATGAGGCAGCGGATCTCTTCCTCCATGGCGGCCTTCACCGCCTCGCCCTTCCAGCTCGTCAGCGCCTCCTTTACCGTCATCGTGGCGATGTCCCAGCGGTGTTCGGGGTCTGCGTGCATGTCGGGGTCGAGCTCCGGCAATTCGTCATCCTCTTCGGCGTCGTCGTACAACAGGTCATCGCCGGCCTCGTCGTACACAGCAGTGAAGGCAGTTGGCGGTGGGCAGGCGTGGAAGCTCAGCCGCTCCGGCGACCGTCGGGCTCGACCTGTGCGTCGCAGCTCAGGCTTCGTGATCGGCACCTCTACCACGTCGCTGTCGGTGGACTCTTCTCCTGCCGACAGCTCCCCTTCTTCGTCGACGTCCAAGTCGTCGACCAGCTGCTTCGAACCTTCGACCAGCTGCTCACCTCCTGCTGACTTCGACAGCTCCCCTGTCGAATGCACCCCTGCTGATGCCTCCTGTTCGACTGGCTCCCCTGTCTGCTGCTCCCCTGTCGTCGACGGGTTCCCATCCTGGTCGACAGGCTTGGCGCCTTGTCGACCGCCGGCGATGCCACTGGCCGGCACCACAGCTGATGCCTCAAGGCTCCCCTCATCGCCGGTGGTCGACACAGGTGTCCACGCAGGCCGATCTGCGACGGGGAAGGGAGGAGCAAGAACAGGGGGAGGTGGAAGAACCTCCACTACATCCTCATCAGCAGGCTCATCGACTTCGACGAGCAAAGGAACCGTCGCCGTCGAGGTGTCCGTCGGCGGGTGTGCCTGCGTTCGCCCCGACGCTGGCCCAAACTTTGCCTTCCACACCTCCAGCGACAGCGTTTCATAGAAGATCACCTCGACCGACGTGACCACCTTGTTGTCGGTCAGATCGAGTACCTCCCAGCCCTTACTTTCCGGTGACACGCCCAGGTGAAGTCCCCAGCGAGCTTTCGGCGCCAGCTTCCCACCGCGCTGCTGCTCAGGGACCATGAACTGCACCATGCAGCCCCACACCCGCGCCAGCGAGAGGTCGGGCTTCTTCCCGGTCAGTA